GCGGCCTCCGTTGCCATTTCGGCTCCAGCTGGGGAGGAGGAGGAGGAGGAGGAGGAGAAGGAGGAGGAGGAGGAGGAGGAGGAGGAGGAGGAGGATGAGGAGGAGGAGGATGATGAGGGGGAGGAGGAGGAGGAGGAGGAGGAGGAGGGCTCGGCGCTGGCGGCGGGCTCGGGCTGCAGGGCCTCGCGCACCGCCGCTTGCCCGCCTTCGTGGGGGCTTGGCAGGCGTGCCTGGCGGGCGTCTGCAGTGAGCTCGGACTCTCCAGCCTCGAGGCTTTCCAGCTCGCCTGCCCGGCTGCGTGGGGGGCGGCCGAGGGGGCGGGCCGCGCTCTCCAGGTGCGCGGCGCGACCTGGCTGTGCGCCGCCGCGGAGCCACAGGCGAAAGCACAGCGCGCCCTCGCGGCGCCGGAGCAGCACGCGCGCCGGCAGCGGCTCCTGGGCTCCTTGCCACCAGACCGGGCAGCGCAGCTACGCTCGGCCAGCGGGAAGGGAGCGGGGAGCTGGCTCCAGCCGCCAACTGCGGAGGACCACGTGCTGGCGGACGCGCACTTCCTCCCAGCCCTCGCGCTGCGCCTCCAGCTGCCGCTGCCAGCGACCGCCAGCGCCACCTGCTGCCGGTGCAGGGAGGACGGCACGCGCTGCGGGGCCGACCTGACGGTGGGGCACTGCCTGGGTTGCCACGTCGGCGGCGGCACGATCCAGCGCCACGACGGCGTCCGGGATTGGCTCGCCCGCTGGCTCGGCGCCCGCGGCGCGACAGGCGTGGCCACGGAGCAATTCGTGCCCGCTTGGGACCGCGCGCGCCCTGACGGCACCGTGGAGGCCGCTCGCCTCGACGTGGCCTTCACAGACCCCACGGTCGGCGTTGCCTACGTCGACGTGGTGGTTACTGACGCCTCTCTCGGCGCGAACACGCCGGCGGGCCGGGGCCGCGCCGCCCGGGACGGCGCCGCTGCCGCTGCCTGGGAGGAGCGCAAGCACGCGCGCTACCCGGGCCCAGCGCTGACGGCTTTCGCGCTGGAGGCCCTCGGGCGCGCTGGGAAGGAGGCGCAGGCGCTCTTGCGCACCTGGGCGCGCGGAGACGCGGAGGTGCTCGCGGCGGCGCGCCAGAGCCTCGCGGCGACCCTTCAGCGGGGCAACGCCGAGGCGCTCCGCTCCGCTTGCTTCGCTGCACGCGGGGCGGTGCGCCGCGGGGCTGGCGGCGGCGAGCCGGCGGCGCGCCGCCCGCGCGCTAGCTAGGCGTGCGCCCGCCGGCCTGCGGCGCCGGCGCGGAGCACGGCGAGGACCCGCTAGGCGGGCCAGGCGGCGGCGGCGCGGGCGGCGCGGGCGGCGCTGGCGCCGGCGGCCGCCGGGGACGCTGCGCGGGGCGGCGACGCTGCCGGCGGAGGAGGGCGCCGGGCGCTTGCGGGAGCTGGCCGGGCTGCTGCGGCGGGGGGCCGGGCGGCGGCGCCGGCGCTGGGCGGCGGCGACTGACTGCGCGCAGGCAGGCGCCGAACTGCCGCCCGAGCTGGAGGAGCTGGAGGAGCAGGGCGGCTATCCGGCCGGGGGCCAAGCCTCCCAGACCTTCTGGGCGGTCTGGCACCCGGCCGGGAGGTGTCGAGGCGGTGCCCAACCTCTCCGCCGCGTTCGCGGCCGCGCACAGTGGGAGCGGGGCGGGCGGCGGCCTGCGGGAAAGGGCCCGCGCCGCGCGCCGAGCGCCCCGGAGATCCCCCCGGACTCGGGGTCTCCGGGGCCCCGCTGCCAGGAGGAGGAGGAGGAGGAGGAGGAGGAGGAGGAGGAGGAGGAGGAGGAGGAGGAGGAGGAGGAGGAGGAGGAGGAGGCGGAGGAGGAGGAGGAGGAGGAGGAGGAGGAGGAGGAGGAGGAGGAGGAGGAGGAGGAGGAGGAGGAGGAGGAGGAGGAGGAGAGAGGAGAAGCGGGAGGGGAGGAGGAGGAGGAGGAGGAGGAGGAGGAGGGGGAGGAAGAGGAGGAGGAGGAGGATGAGGAGGAGGAGGAGAGGAGGAGGAGGAGGAGGAGGAGGAGGAGAGAGAGGAGGAGGAGGGAGGGGAGGAGGAGGAGGAGGAAGGAGGAGGAGGAGGAGGAGGAGGAGGAGGAGGAGGAGGAGGAGAGGAGGAGGAGGAGGAGGACGAGGAGGAGGAGGAGGAGGAGGAGGAGGAGAACACAACGAATGGCATGGAATAGGAGTAGGAGGACGGAAAGGAGACACCCGTGTTTCGAAGGTCCGAACGGCTCAACGCGCCGATGGGGAGGGCCGTCTAGGCGGGCCCAGAGGCATGGGCTGGGCTTCTCACTCCTCCTTCCCCTCATCCCTCAGCCATCGTCGCCCCCCTTCTTCCCTCCCCCCCCCTTCCTCGCCATCCTCCCGGATCCGCCCTCCCTCTCTGTTCCTCTATCTCCCTCCTCCTCCCTCCTCCTCCCCTCCCAACTCCTCCGCCCTCGCCTCCCTTCTTCGTCCACGGGGGGGGGGGGACGACGGCCCGAGCGAGCCCGGGCCGCGGGCCCCAGGCAGCGGGAAGGAGCGCGAGTACTGCTTCCAGGACCGCCGGCGGGGGAGGATCTCGCCGTCCCCGAGGGGGCAAGCTCTGCACGCCCGAGATGGGCACGGAAAGAATGGGTACGATGCCCAACAGCAGTTCCTGTTCATTTTGAACAGGATTCGCTGTCCGCGCCGCCGCGGCCTGTGTCCATTTGAGACAGGAGGCCGCCTGCCCAACAGCGGCCGCTGTTGGTTCGGGACAACATTTGCTGTTGGGCATTGTGCCCATTGTTTCCGTGCCCATGTCGGGCGTCCAAAGCAGGGGGAGGAGGGGGAGGGAGCGGGGGAGGGAGGATCAGGGGAACGAAGAATGACATTTACATTCCGTGGGCCAGAGCGGGAGGGAGCGGGGGAGCGAGAGGACAGGATACCCCTCCGAGGGCCACATTGCCGTAGGGGATGTAGGAAGCATGACTAGGGGAACAAAAAGTGACATAAGCATAAAAACTCGGAGGTCCGGTCCGCGCGGATTTCTCGGACCGGCGCTGGGGCCCCCTGGCGGCGCTTCCGGCGCCGCCCTTGCGCGCTCCGTGCGCCAGGGAGGGGGGTCCAGCGTCGATCCGAGAAATCCGCGCGGACCTCCGAGTTCTTGTGTTTATGTCATTCTTCGTTCCCCTCAGGATGAAGAGGAGAGGGTGAGGGACGGGGAGGGAGGGTGGGGGCGAGGAAGGGGAGTGACGGAGGAGGGAGGCGGGAGGAGTGGTGAGCGGGAGGAGCCTGGGAGAAGGCCTGATGAGGAGGATGGGAAACGGGGGGGAGGAGCCGCTTCGGTCCGTCGCCTCTCATGGCCCAGAGTGTCTCACGCAACAGCACTTAGGCAAGGGCTTAAAAAACGCCCCTACCCTGATTTACGAGGCGCTGTGCGCTGAACCTCCTGTGGGCTGACAGGGTAAATGCTGCGTTTCGCGTGTGTCGCGCAGCGTCCTGGCGGTTCTATGGTCTCTGGGAGCTCCCAGGAGGTTTACAGACCACGCACTTGTAACCCAGGGTAGGGGCGTTGTTTCATCCCTCAACTTAGGGTTGTGGATGCCACGACAAGGGACACCCTAACAGTTCTATCATTCGGTTTAACGTATGTTTAAGATGTCGGAAACTGTTCTCAACGTGTTTTAAACATGTTTTTTTTACATATGCGAAGCATGTTTAGGACATGTTTTAGACATCTGGAAATCATTTGGCAACATGCTTCCTCTCCATTGATCGTCCTCCACAGACTTAGGGGCAGCCTCTGGCCGTACGCGCGTCGCCCGCCCGCGCCGCAGCGGCCCCCGCCTCCCCCGAGCTTCATCCAGCGCCGGTGCGGCCGAGTCCCTCGCGCTTCGCCCATCGGCGAAGGAAAACACATCTCTCCACGTGGCGCGGGGCTGCGCGGAGTCTGGGCGCGGCTGGCCGCATCGTCAAGAGGGCGAGGTAGGAGAAGGTCAGGAGGGACAAAACACACCGTCGATTCCATAGAAAACATGGGAAAATATGGGAGGTGGGGGGGAAGACAAACACCTAGAATATATGGGAAAATATGGGGAATCTTCTTACTTGTGCGTATTTCTTTTTGTGTCCCAAGGCCCCTTCAGAAGGGGCGAGGGAGGGCGGGGGGCAGGGCGGAGGGGTGATGGGCGGAGGGGGATGCGGGTGTCGCGTGTCGAAGCGGCTTCTCGATCTCTGCCCGTGTGTGGTACCGCAGGGCGTCGTGCTTCATGTCGGCCTCGTGAGTGGTTCACCTGTGGCGCATGAGTGGCGCACGCGACGGGTGCCGTTAGCGTCGAGCGGGGAGGACCGCCTCTTACAGGGTGCTCTTGGCCTGTGGGGCATAGTGCTCACCGAGCCGCGAACACGGCCGCCCTCGGAGACTTCTTGGGTACATGTGACGAGGGGTCGGGTACCTTGGCATGCCTCTCGGGCGCCTCGTGGAGCGAGTTTCAAAACTCGGGGTCCGTTTCGGGGCCTCTCGAGGTTTTTTGGGGGGGCCCTGGGGGGCCCGCTTGTTGCGGAGCCTTGGGGGCCCCCTTGGGGGCCCCCCAAGGGGGCCCCCCAGGGGGGCTCCTTGCGGGGCCCACTTTTTTGGGGGGCCCCCTTGGGGGCCCCTGGGGGGCCCACTTGTTGGGGGCCCCTGGGGGTCCGTTTCGGGGGCCTCTTGAGGTTTTTATTGGGGGGCCCCTGGGGGTCCGTTTCGGGGGCCTCTTGGGTGGCCTGCGGACGGCCGCGGGGGGCCCACTTGTGGCGGAGGGCTCGAGCTGTCAGTTGGAGTTCCCGTCTCGCTCCATTCAGGAAGGAAAAAACACACAGACACAATTATTCGTCGATTCCCCTGAAAATATGGGAAACTATGGGAAGTGGGGGGAAGACAAAACCTGGAACATATGGGAAAATATGGGGAATCCTTTTATTTGTGTCTATTTATTTGTGTGTCCCAGGGCCCCTTCATCCATGGCCGTGGCCCCAATCCACAGGACGACGAGGTCTGGTACGGC